TTTTTTTTTATGTTTCATTAGCTATATTAGTGTTGTAGATTTTAGCAAAAAAAGTTTGTTAGTTTTAAAGAGGTTGTTAGCTGTGAAGAGGCTCTTAACAGAGGAGAGATAAAAAGAATATCTCTATCAAGCCAAAAATTAAGAGAGAGAAAAAGGAGGAGACACTTGACATTTTTTATTATTTTATTTTTAACACACACTTTGACAAATACCTTACATCGTGATTCAAGATCTGATACATACTACAAGAATTAACACTTTGGCAACAAAAAAATTGGTCGCTAAAAGTCAATTTTTGGTCGGCAAAAGTTATCCGCGACCAATTTTTTTGGTCGCTACTTTGGTCGCAATTGAGGGTCGGTAAAAGTAATTCGCGACCAAAAATTGTGGTTGGTCGGCAAAGTTGGATTTCGCGACTAAATTTTTAGTCGCTAAATGTTTAATTACCGCGACTAATTTATTTTGTCGCCAAACACTCTTGGTCGCGAAAAGTGATATTTTCGCGACACAAAAAATTTGTCGCCAATTATCACATTCAACGACCAAAAAGTTTGGTCGCCAATTGTGACATTCCGCGACCAAAAAATTTGGTCGCCAATTGTGACATTCTGCAACCAAAATTTGTTTGGTCGCCAATTGTGACATTTCACGACCAAAAATTTGGTCGCCAAATGTGACATTCTGCGACCAATATTTTTTTGGTCGCCAATTGTGACATTTCGCGACTAATCAATTAGTCGCCAATTGTGACATTCTGCGACCAAAATTTGTTTTGGTCGTCAATTGGGACATTTCGCGACCAAAAATTATGGTCCAATTGTGACATTCTGCGATCAAAATTTTTTTGGTCGCCAATTGTGACATTTCGCGACTAATCAATTGGTCGCCAAAACTATTAAAACCCAACCAAATTTTGGTCGCCAATACCCAACAAAATAAACCTGTAATTTATAAATTCATCCAATTTATTCAATATAATCTGTAAAAAGAAGAAATCATTCAAACCATCAAATAAATTGAATCATCAACATTCAACAAAAACATATATCAACCATTTCTGAACCTGTTTAATTAAAAGTCAGCAACTATTATTAGTTTACATCCGCAAATAATTCGAAACTACATATTTCATTTAGCATAAAAATTATACTTTATCATCAACTAGAGAAACAATTTCTCACACATGACTGCAAATTGGATACAACTGAGTTATGGTTGATGGGGAGGCCCCTACCAGAGTGTAATGCTGTTCGAGCTAAGTCTGCCAAATGAAAATGGAGTCAAATTTGTACTAGACAGTTCATTCCTCAGAGAGTATGTCTTGGCTTGATGACTAAGAAAATGATACATGAATATTTACCCCCTTTCTTTTACCTCCTACGTACGAACCATATGTATAAATATAGGACCTATCATATCTATAAAATAATAAGATCCACCATTATTTTTCAACGGATCATGCTAATGACAAATTAATGTGTAGTCTAGATTTTTGCAGTGTTTTGGCGGGCTTCATCCCGTTCTTTTGAAGATTCTTTCTCAATGTCAATCATATCACGTGGTAGTTCAATTCCCTGGAATAGCAGTTTCAGGTCGTCATCAACCTTGATTGGCACTTGAGGGTCATTTGGATAGGCTATGTCTTTGCGAGTCGAAGTTCGACAACAGCCAGATTTCACCAGCAGCTTTCAAAGCCTATGAAGAAAATACAAATTTTGCTCTAAAACTCCAAGAAAAACGAAATTAAAGGTTATAATGCAAAGTCCATGCAAGTATTTGGCATTTATTTAGCAGTAACACAAACCTGTAGATCCTCCATGACAGTTGGGTATGCATCCTTGAGATCAATAACAGCAATGCCCTCTGGAAATTTACGTATTAGGATGAGTAGTTGATTCTTGTCCTCCAGGACATGTTTGGACTGTAATCAAATAAAGACAAGTAAATTTCCAGCACAAAGAACAACTTTTTTTCGAAGCTTTTTGGGCAGGCACCTGTAACAATCTATGAACTCTTGGGGAAGACAGAGAAGTTCAATTGTCTGCCAAGGGTTCAGGTGAAAAGATTAGGATTTACCTTGTAAGCGAAGCACCTCCAATGATTTCACTTTTGGGTTATTCCTCAAACTGTCAATGACAGCCTTGTTGGAATTAATGTCAACATAACATGCTTCATTTATTTGCTCTGGTGTAAAGGCTTGCCTTGTCTGCAGAACAAGAACATAAATAATTAAGGTGAATTAATCCCTTTCAATGAGCCTACAAAAAATGAGAGGACAAAATCAACCAATGACTTCCCACATGCCCCTGCCTCGCACACTGCATCCTGCAGGGGTAGGTGGGTTGTGCAGCAAGTATCAGCAGGAGGAATAAGTTCAAGGCTCACAGCATAAGAAGTATTGAGAGGAACTATAAAACTTCTACAAACCTCTATATTTTTTGCTAAGTCTATAACATAACCTCTGTTAAGATTTACCTACACCTCACACCACTATACCACACCTACTACACCTACCACCAATTTACCCTCACCTACTCCTCACCTACTACCCAACCCTCTATATATAATGAGCACTCTAATTTGTAATATAAGATAATCAAGAATAATCAATCAATAATACCAAATTCTTACATAGTAATCAGAGCAAGGTTTAAGAACCTATTCAATTCTGCTTTACCGGCGGGCGGCAGCTTCGCCTTGGCGCCGCCGGACCTACACATAACCCCCTGTGTTCGTCTTTGCAACACCTCTCTCTTCCTAATTTGTGAAGTAGTTCTCTCACAGAGTTGTTTTCCCCTCTCTCTCTCTCTCGCATTTTTATTTCCCATTTTGATTGGAACTATGGAAATTCTCTCTCTTTTTTAAATCAGATTTTGCCAAGTGCTTTGCATACTGAGCTGCTATTTCCTGACGGGTCTGCTGATCTGGTAAGCCAAAGGTGATCATAGAATCAAACCGACTGACAGAAATGAATGAAACGTATGTTAGTAAACCTTGAATCAATTCTGCATATAACCGTCATATAAGAAAATGTGCACTGGTATACCTAATCAAAGCAGGATCAAGGTCTTGCTTTCTGTGGGTTGCAGCAATGACCACCACTTTTTTCTCCTGCTCAAATCCATCAATCTGCACCAGAAGAGTAAAATTTACTGAGGCCACAACAAAAACTGTCTAATGCCGCTATATCCTATTTAGTTTAACACATGCTACCAGAGAATGATTACATCTATCATTTCTCGAAAGTATTCAAAGAACATGACAAACAACGAAATTTGAGAAAAAGACAGCACAAGGACTACTTGCGCGTAATTTATCCTTTTTATTTTGTTGTTTTTGAAGTTTGAAAAGTCTCATTGCTTTTATATTGTTTTCATTTTTTTTTGCCTACGAAAAAATATCTTTGCAAATTTAGAAAGCAATTTGCAAGCCTTTCTTAGCAATTATAGGATGAACAATATAAAAACTTGATAAGTAGTTCAAGGGCTGAAAACTTAAAGCTTCAAAACATCTTGTACATATCAACATTGAAGATGAAAGATAAACATATACATATTCTACCCTTTTCGACATGATTGTGTCAGGATTAGGGTATTAAACTAAAAAACATAAGACCCCATATGTTTAGGATTTGTCTCCTAATTTTGTAATGTCTCACATTTGATTCACCAATAAGGGGATTAGTTGTGCGGACAGATTAATACTCCCTCAAAACCATGGGTTAAATATATATATATATATACCTCCTGCATATGAAACTGCCTTAAAATTTCAATATGGAGGTTCCTCATATCTTCATGAATGGATTTCTGGAAGGCACCAAGAGTTTCTTCAAGAGTGCGTTGAAACAGCTGAAGTGTAAAAGAGGACCCCTGCTGTGTGTGAGGTTGAGATGGGATTCTCGGGGGTTGTGAAACTCCTCCCTATTACAATACTACAGGTCAATGACCATTCTATTTTAACAAAAAATGGCGCTAGCTTTAAGAAATCTGGGTGAAAGGTTAAGATGTTGAATTATCACAAAGTGTAAGTCTACCTCACAGTTCCAGGAATAAACCTAAATTTAAGCTCACAAAATGTAAGTCAAGTTCACACCTAAATTTAATAGATGGAGGCACAGGAAAATTGTACAAACAAGAAATTAGATAAATCCATGATGGTGATCTTACATTCACATATGGAAGAGTCCTTTGTTCTATAGCAGATAATGTGTTCGTCCTTGATAAGAAGCTATTCAACAGTTCTTCTCTCGTTTCAGCTCCTGTTTTCTTTGTTTTTGGTGAACCCACCGAGATGGATGTTCTTCTCTAGTTTTTGTAGACTTAGCCACAGCTCAGTCCAACAGAGCAATTACATCAGATTGCAAATACATTCAAGTTCTTCTCTGATTTTCTTTAATTTTAACATGAGGACCAAGTGTAAAGCAACAGCCAGCAATCTTTCAATTGAATTGAATGAAATCACAAGCTTTAATAACATATGGTTTTAACCAATGAAACCAAAAAGGAAAATAGTAAGTAAAACTTATAGGAAAATGCAGACCAGTTTAAGCATTCTTAAGGAGAACTATGTCCATGTGCATTTGTTTTTACATAAAGGTGCCTACGTGTGTCTCAAGGTGAACTTTCTGCATGTGTGCAAAACTAGAAATTATACCTTCTACAAGCTATCACCGCTACCAAATGAAGAGTTCAAAGGAGAACTTCTTCGAGTGTATGTTCGGGGACTATTAGCTTCAGATGGAATACCATCACTCCTTGATTCTGTTCTCCACTTCCGTTGATGACCACGCGAAATTAATGCTTTTAAACAAATAAACCATTGCTCAGCTTCATCTTTATCTTTACAAATCTGGAATGAAAGTCATTTACCAAATTACAAATAGAGTAAAGTATATATCTATTTGGAAACTACTCCAAAATAGTAGAACAGAATTGGTATTTTAGGAAGATCATTGCAGCAACTGAAAATTAATAAGGAAATGGATATGTCAAATGAGATGCTTACCAAATCTAGTGACCTGTCATTCTATATAAGAGAGGACTGGTACTCCTTCTCAGGCCGTGGATACCTTTGAAAGATCGGCTAAAAAATATTACACGATGAAATGAAATTTTAGGGCCTTAATTCAGTCAATCCATATCAAGAAGAATTTATGTTTTATTAGAAGTGCTGAAACTAAGTCTACAAAACTAGCTGGCAATACAAGGGCAAAAAGGTCAGTCAAGAACACAAAAATTCTAACAAAATTCACCATCTCCAGGTCTGTTGCTTCCATCAACACCACAACAGAGGTACAAGATTAAAAGACATCAATGAAACTAGTAGCAACAAAACAAATACAAGGATTCAGAACTCAAGAAGTTCAACATCAAAAAATAGATAAGAGTAGTGAAAGTTTTCTCTTTCCTTCTTCCTTTTGAGACACAAAAGAAAAACCAGTAAAGGTTGTTGGAACAAGAATACGATGACAGGTACAAGCAATGTCCATTACCTCAAGGGACTAATTCTTATTGCTAAGAATTCTCAATATGATCATTGATTGCTTAATTTGTTGCAGAAAGCTAACAAAATCATAACTAAAGTGGCTTCCATTAGTTTCATTAATTTAAGTGAAAAAATGCAGTTTTTAAAATGTCATTTCATTTCTGAAATATTTTCCAGATTTTCAATCCAGAACTGAATTGACAGATCTAGTGGATGAAACTAATAGAGGAATTGACACTAAAATAGAAATCTGGAAAGAACAAAAATGCATTTGGCAAGGAAAAATCAATTAGGGCACATAAATTGCAATTTATAGGGCAAAGAGAGAGAAGAACCCCAGCTGCGAATTTGTCAATAGAAAAAAGAAGCTAAAATTGTTGAGGGAAAAACAATGAACCATAACCATAACTACCTAACTTGACTATAACTGTCTAACTAAACCATATAGTTAACCTTTAACAAACTAACAGCTAATTTGCCACTTGCTTTGCAATTCACACGTTCTTGAAATGAGAGAGAGACTTCAGCTGATGAGAGAGGGCTGCAGCTGAGGCTGCAGCTACTGTAGCATTAGCAGCTCTGTCTGTTCTGAGCTGCAGCCTTCGCTATGGCTGCTAGCTGCTAAGGTGTGGCCTTGGTTGCTAGACTGTGGCCTTAACTGCTCTGCCTTATCACTGTGGCCTTGGCTGCAGCTATCTAGTTTTCACTGCCTTGACTGCTGTGGCCTTGGCTATGGCTCGCTGCTGTGGCTGATCTGTATCACACACAAGGATACCAAATAGCCATTCTCATTTTAATGAGATCACACAGCCACCCTAACCTTCACTACTTCACCCAACTCAACACAAGAAGGCTGCCCATTATTAAATACACAGTCATTCTTGAGTTTCCATCTCCTCTCTTCTCTCCCCAAAAACCTTCATCCAATGTTCCTAAATTGGAGACCATTGTTGAAGAAGGATCCAACAAGTTTGACCTAGTGCATAACAACAAGTTGATGTATCTTCTTCCTGTGGTTCTTTCTATTGTTTCCTACATATTGATAGACAAATACATCATTGCTTGAATTGTAGTCCTTTTCACACATATCATATCCCTACTTTGATGGACGAAGAAACCCTTTGTCGTTCTACCTCAAAACAATCCCAACCATTTGATCATTTGATGACCTGAAGCCATGATCTAATTGCTATGAATATTTCGGGACAACAAGACAGATGAGGTGAGATATGTGTGTCTATGAAAAAACTGTGAGATTGTACCTGCCCTTTCAAATCTCTCCAAAAGCATTCATTCTATAAAAACAGACACATTTCTTGAAGAAAAGATCTAACTAGTTTGATGTTGTGCACATCATGTTTATGTGATCCTGTGTTTCTATCTTTTCTCTGTATAGCTAAATAAATATGTTCTTATTTGAAGAACCCCTTTGTTGTTCTACCTCAAAACAATCCCAACCGTTTGATCATTTGATGACCTGAAGCCATGATCTAATTGCTATGAATATTTCGGGACAACAAGACAGATGAGGTGAGATATGTGTGTCTATGAATTTGGTTGAGATTGTACCTGCCCTTTCAAATCTCTCCAAAAACATTCATTCTATAAAAACAGACACATTTCTTGTGTGCACATCATGTTTAGTTTGATGTTGTGCACATCATGTTTATGTGATCCTGTGTTTCTATCTTTTCTCTGTATAGCTAAATAGATATGTTCTTAATTGATGTCAACAAGATTGTAAAAAGGATAAGTGAGATGTGAGCTGCAAGAAAATTAGATATGGAGAAGTGTACTAATAGATTATATGCCCCCACAAGGGTTAGGTGTTTCTAAAGATAGCATCATAAAAATAAAAATAAAAAATCCTATTCTATTCATAAATATATATAGAAATAAAAGAACTTCAGTTTTAATAAAGTAACATGCAACTAATCATAAACACGATTAAACTAGAATAAGGCTGCAAAGATAAAATCAAAAGCTTCTTGAGAGACGGGAAAGCTTAACAGCTTCTTTAGGCGCAAAAAATATTTTACACAAAATCAAGTTGTCAATGGAGTCTAAAATGCAATATGAAGCAAGGGATGATATCAACAAAGCTCACGTTTTCTTTCCTCCCATCAGCAAAACAAGATTAAGACAGTCAATATGTATATAAATAGCATTCTATTGAAAAGCAATCCAAGCAAAGTCGAAAAGCACAAATTAGAGATGCTGGTTATCAAAGAAATATCACCCTAACACGCAACAAAACCAACCCAACTCCATAAGTTTTCAACCGTCCAAGAACCATCTACTCCATAATCTCTGAAGAAGCCTACAAAAAATGAAGCCATAATTAACAACACTACTTCATTCATATATACAAGTAAATTTCCTTGCACCTTGAAGAAAAAAATTAGTATGTTTCTTTAATTAGGTTTGAGGGGATTGCTAAAATAAATTATCTTCATAGTTAAAAGTAACTTTTTCCGAGCAAATTTTTTTCAACAAAATAGAGTGTCAACTTGCCTATTTGCTACAAAGAGAAACCAAGAGGACCAAGATATTGTGGGGGCATCGGCATTTATTTATGTTCTTAATTGATGTCAACATGATTGTAAAAGGGATAAGAGAGATGTGAGCTGCAAGAAAATTAGATATGGAGAAGTGTACTAACAGATTATATGCCCCCACAAGGGTTAGGTGTTTCTAAAGATAGCATCATAAAAATAAAAATAAAAAATCCTATTCTATTCATAAATATATATAGAAATAAAAGAACTTCAGTTTTAATAAAGTAACATGCAACTAATCATAAACACGATTAAACTAGAATAAGGCTGCAAAGATAAAATCAAAAGCTTCTTGAGAGACGGGAAAGCTTAACAGCTTCTTTAGGCGCAAAAAATATTTTACACAAAATCAAGTTGTCAATGGAGTCTAAAATGCATTATGAAGCAAGGGATGATATCAACAAAGCTCACTTTTTCTTTCCTCCCATCAGCAAAACAAGATTAAGACAGTCAATATGTATATAAATAGCATTTTATTGAAAAGCAATCCAAGCAAAGTCGAAAAGCACAAATTAGAGATGCTGGTTATCAAAGAAATATCACCCTAACACGCATGTTGTTCTACCTTAAAACAATCCCAACCGTTTGATCATTTGATGACCTGAAGCCATGATCTAATTGCTATGAATATTTCGGGACAACATGACAGATGAGGTGAGATATGTGTGTCTATGAATTTGATTGAGATTGTACCTGCCCTTTCAAATCTCTCCAAAGACATTCATTCTATAAAAACAGACACATTTCTTGAAGAAAAGATCTAACTAGTTTGATGTTGTGCACATCATGTTTATGTGATCCTGTGTTTCTATCTTTTCTCTGTATAGCTAAATAGATATGTTCTTAATTGCTACATAGAGTGTCAACTTGCCTATTTGCTACAAAGAGAAACCAAGAGGACCAAGATATTGTGGGCAAAATAGAGTGTCAACTTGCCTATTTGCTATAAAGAGAAACCAAGAGGACCAAGATATTGTGGGGGCATCGGCATGGATTCTCCTATCATTGTGTGGTGTGTTGTCATCTATTTTGTTTTCCTTTAAAAATTCAATGATTGATTATAAACAAAATATGATTTAATAATTTCCACAACTAAAAAAAATACATAACAATTTTCATATAGTGCATCCAAGTTAGAAATGTTTCAACTTAATTATGTTAGCTCAATAAGCAAATTCATTCAATTGTAAATTAAACATATCCAAATAAGCATAATTTGCAACAGTAAATACTTACCAAATCATCATAATTAGCCCCAAAAACTAATTTTTTTTACAGGAATCAGGCCGTCAATTTTCACCAAATCAACACCACCAAGTTCACATACTACTTCAATCTCTTAGTCATATCTTATAATCAAGTAACACACAAGTAGAACTCAGAATTTGCACGATCAATGCAAAAACGTGTGCACAGCAGTAGATATATAAACAATAAATGCACAGGTCACCAAATTCCTAACAACCCAGAACAAAATGCCAATTAATTTATCATATTATAAACACATGCATATCAAACCCAATTGCAGGTAAAACCTAAATTACAAGACTATCAAACATAATTCAAATTCCTATAAAACCCCACCAGAACAATATGCCAATGAACCCATCATTTCATATACACATACAAATAGGCACAAACATATAAATCTAAAAATTCAACAAAACTTCATAGTTTCCTCTACAATGTGCAAATGATTATTAGTACCTTCAATCCAAGTACTCTGGTGACATCGCTCGCTCGAATTGGGGTCATTGAACTGACTTCCCGGACTCCGAGAACCCAAAATCTCCGACAATCGCTGTTGGGATCTGGGAATGGAATCGGGCTCGCTCGCCATCATTTCGAAAAGGGTCGGGCTCGATCGGGCCTTGTCGGAGGGAGGTAGTGGTGAAGACATGGGATTCAATAGTCTAGCAGTGAGAGCCGAATTGAACTTGCTAAAAGAAGAAGGGAAAGAATCGGCGCCGTAGACGGCGGTGGTGATTGAGGAGTCCAATATGTGTGAGAATGAGGAAACATATCAAAAGGATCATTATCAAAGGTCAAAAAAAAACTTGATGTAGCACCAAAAGATCAGAAGAGAAAGAAACTGTGGAATCAAATCCCAAATTAATATACCAATATTCAAAATCATATCCTAGTCCAATAAAACCCATTATATAATGCTACCAATGCCTTTTCGATCCCCTTAAGTAATAGAAAAAACATGAGAAAAAGAAATTAGGAGAGGGTCATACCCTTTCCAGTTTAATGCCAATAAAGCCCCAAATTCCCCTGTTTAATGTCAAATAGTGAGCAAAATGAAGAAAATAATTAGCCCCAAATCGAAGGAGACAAAGAGAGGAAGACAGAGAGACACACACACACACGCACAGAGAGAGAAAGAGAGAGAGAGCGAAATAGAGGACATACCTACCCGAGACAAAGCGACGGTGGTGCTAACCCTTACGGTGTGCTCACCTAACCCTTGAGTTGTGCTCATCTAACCCTTGCGGTGATGCTCTAGTAACAGAGAGGAGGGCAGCGTGAGGCGTGAGGCGTGAGAGAGAAGAGACACATAGGCGTGAGGCGTGAGAAAAGAGAAAGGGGGAGGTGAGGTCATGTAGGGCGAGGTTTGGAATCTGTGTGTGAGAGGAACAGATATATCTAAAGGCGCCAATATATTCATTTCCCCCTAAAAATTTTTAGCAATTAAATCATTTATTTAGTGACAAAATTATTTTCTCATAAAAAATAAAATTATTAGCTACGAAAATAATTTTTTCATTAGATAATATTAAATTATAAAAAATTATTGGTGACGAAAATATATTCGTCATTAATAATTTTATTATTGGTGACCAATTTTTTCCTGACCAAAAGTCTGAAAATTTTGGCACCATCCGAAAAATTAGCGGAAAAAATTGGTGACCAATTTTTTCCTCACCAAAAGTCTCAAAATTTTTGTGCTACCCAAACAAATTAGTAGGAAAATCTTTGGTGACAAAAAAATTAAAATAATGACGAAAAATAATTTTGTCAACTAATTTTTTTTATTATGTATTGAGATTGGTGATGAAATTTTATTTTTCTCTCTAAAAATGGTACATTTGGAGACGAAAAATTATTTTCTTCATTAAAAGGTATGTCTTTCGTGACAAAATTTATTTTCGTCATTAGTTTTCGTCTCTAAAGACTCTTTTTGTTGTAGTGGCATTCTCCTACTCAGTCTTCCATTATATAGATTAATTTCATGTTTGACTAATTTAAATTACAAGCTAGATTTGTTAGGCCAAATTCACTAAAACTAAAACTAAAATAGCTACATTAATAATTAATTTGATGAAATTAAAATTTAATAATTTACTCACTATGTTTGAATCACTTTCAAATATTGTATAGAATAAAGTGATAGTAACATATTCAAATAAAGTATATAGAATAATTTTTCTCTGCTTTCATGGTACAAAACGACGTTGTTTTAAAATTGGCGACCAAATTTATTTGTCGCAAAAAAATTTCAATTCCCGCCCCATTAAAAATCAAATTTCTCTTCCAAATTTTTGGCGACCAAAAGACCATATTAGTCGCAGAAAAGGTACCTTCGCCGACCAAAATATTTTAGTCGCCAAATCTCAATCAATGGCGACTAAAATATTAGTCGCTAAAAGTATTAATTTGGCGACTAATTTTTTTTGGTTGCTAAAAATAAGTTTTTCGCGATCAAATTTTTGGTCGCCAAAAAATATGTGACCTTCCGCGACCAAATTTGTAGTTGGTCGGCAAAAACATATCACTTTCTGCAACCAAGTCATTTTTTGGTCGCCAAAATATAACCTTCTGCGACCAATAATATTTGGTCGTCAAAAATAATGATCATTTGCGACTAATTAATATTTGGTCGCCAAAAGATAACTTTTAGCTACCAACTTTTACATTGGTCGTGAAAAGTGATCGCGAAAAGTGCAGATTCTTGTAGTGACACTCTCTAAACTAACAAATTTTAAATACAAAATAAAATTATATTTCTATTATTTTTTATCGCATAACATATTAATACATAATTTTAACATCTCCATGACAGATGTTCTCAAAACTTTAGGAGAATCTCAAAAGGCACCAAAGCTTTGAACAGCAGTACAACAGGTGCATAATTGTCTTTACATTAGAAGAGTGAGGGTATAGAAAATGTCCAAATTAATTATTGGCAATGTCCTATAAAATCCTTAACTAAAGAAGTTCCAAATCTCTAAAAGCAAAGCTGCTGAGCTTTTGTTAAAGTTTCCATAGTTTCATTGACCTTCTTCAACTAGGTAGATAAATAGATATATAAGATGAGAGTGGAGGGCATCATTTTAGTTCGTTGGAAAAGCTAGTCCCATGTCTAGTTCCAAAGGGACAATATCTTGGTTTTGTGTTCTCTTTTTCACTTTTGAGGTTAATCTAATCCACATCTCTACAATCTTAGAGAACAAAAAACACAGTACAGGTTCAGTAGATTTTGTTTTGAATAAAGTGAATAGGGTTATTCGCATGCCCCTTTCCGGCCGGTGTCTCCTAATAATTGTCCTGTTTTGTGGGGGTAATGACAGATGGCAATGTAAAGGTTTTTTCTTTCTCTTTTTTTTTCTTTTTTCTTTTTTTGAAGTTAAAATTTATGGAAAAAAAATGAAGTCGAAATTTTTTCTTTAGTTTTTGTCCATAATTTTTTTTCAGAAATTCAACATGCAACATAAGCTTAATCTTAGAGAACAATGAAGATGCAAGAGACTAGATGAAAGGTATGAAATTCAACTCTGATGAGTAGTCTTATTATTTGTGCAATGCTCCTCTCACATGGGAAATGGAGTCATTGCTATGTTTTTTTGGCACAATAACCCCTGTTGTGTTCTTATGTGAGACACATTAAGACTATTTCTATAGTTATAATCGTTTATTTTATAAAATCTATATAGATTGATTTAATATTGATAATCGTATGACGGGAATAGATTTGTCTATTGAAATCGACAATATATTCTCAAAGTTATGTTAGACGAATATTTTTTTAATACAAATGTAACTTGATTATATGGGTATCGATATTTGATGAATCTTATGCCTTCCCTTCCTTGCAAAGCAAACCTAGCCAAGCAATAGATGTAGAATGATTATCTTAGCTCAGGGCAGCTATCTATGCTACATTCCACTTTAATACCTTGGGTCGAAGACATGTTAGGTGTGTCGAAAGAAAGGAAAATCGGAATCGGTTAATATAAATAGGCTAGACAAGCGCTTTCGGTCCTTTCACTTTCCCTTCTACCTCTCTAGATGGCAGGCCTTACTAATAGAAAGGTAAAATTGATCGCGTCACGTAGGAAGTTCCATTTGTTGCTGTTGTTGCCTTCACAGCGGATCAGAAGCGACAAAATTTCACACAGCCAATTCTTTATGGCGAGCTTGTACTACCAGTATACATAATAGATCCTAAAAAATGAAAAATTTTACTCATCACAAGTCACAACAGGGACTGCTGCGCAAAACAACATTCAACACTCGCAAGTAAATATATTATAAATTCACAATTTTTTATTACTGAGAATATAATATCTTTTATTAAGATATCATGTTAACAAAAACTTCACTTAATAAAAAAAAAATATAGTAAAACAAAATTAATGAAGTGGACAGCAAGATGTTTCGAAAAAGGCTACACTCGGATATAACTGGGAATGAATGCTGTGAACTAGAGCAAGCATAATCACATTAAAACTCATCTGTCACCATCCAAATTGGTTGGGATGTAAGAATTAAAAAAATGACTTACATACATAATTTTTGTATAAAATTTAAGATAAGAATGATGTGATAATAATATTCTTAAAATTATGAATCAAAGTAGTGGGACCTTGTCTTGACTTAAAATGAGTCTTTGTTAGTGGACGGTGGAATTAGGCTTATGACTAAGTCGGCCAAGTGACTGGATATCAAGTTATCCAAAAAAAAAAGAAAGAAAGAAAAAAAAGAATCAAAATGATGAGCGTTTTGACTTCCGAATGAATGGCTATAAAAGAGGAGTGAGGTGAGAATCCTCTAGAGTAAATTTTCTTAGACTGATTGTAGAGTAATAAGTTTATCGGTCTAGTAGGCCGAATATAAAAAAAAAACAAAAAAATCAAAGTGATCAGCATTTTGACTTTCAAATGAAAGACTATAAATGAGTTTGAGGTTAGATTCTTCACTAATGTTATCAAACGAAATTTGTATATAGAAAATTCATATAGAATAATGGGTCTTGTATCACTTCCGAAAAATTATCCTCACTCAATCCTACACAATATATATATATATTTTGATGCATGCACATTGATGAAATGTTAGAGCATAGGATATATATGATTTGGTAATTTATTTATTTGATTTTTCCTGCCAATCAGTACTAAATTACAAATATTATAAAAATTGCATCAAATTAAACAATTGATTATGAAAGAAAGTTCAAAACATAATCACAACCATTTCAGATTTACACCGTTTTGCACCATTTTAGATTTGGGGTCAAAATTGAATTTGGAGTAAAGAATAAGAGCCAAGCCTAACTAACCATTGAATGAACTTCAAGCTCATATTTCACTTTGGGCTGGGTTGAGAAGCCCATGATGCAGAAAACTTGCAATTCACTCCCAAGATCAGTTCAAATCAAATGCCTATATATATACATATATACACACGTATAAATGCAAGTTTTAAGTAAATTTGCCTAGTGCTGGATTTTTATTCAATTGATACAGAGGAATTTTTTTTTTAAAGACTCTTGAGGCATAAACATCATTAAAAGACCTGAGGTGTGTAGTAATTTTACTGATTAGTAAAGCAATTTGTACGAAGAAAACCTATAAAATTAACCCCTCAAAATAGAACTGGATATGGCAGCCATCAGTGGCATGCCCACTAATTTTAGATTCATCCAAGAACTGCATATATACATACACGCATATATATATATACATATATCCCATCAGCTTAATCTCAATGCCAGACCCAATAGGCCAAGTTCGATTCACAGAGGGACCGAGATAGGACTACTTTATTCCAAGATAAAGTACCCCACATCGGTTCACATTTTGTGATCCGGAATAAGTTTATCCCGGGCCCTTCTATCCAACTTGTGGGATAATTTTGTCCTAGGATAAGAATTGTCATAAAATGAAAGGGGAAAAAAAAAAAAAATCCTCATCCAGATAAGTCGGCCCAGGATAACTTATCTGGACCTCTTATCCTATCTGTGAAGCAAATATGGCCCCTTGAGAGAGAGCATGGCTGTGACATGACAAGAAAATTTACATGATGCACAACCTGGAACACGTAAAACATGACATAATTGGAACTGTTTAATTACAAGCATCCCTGAACATCTATTTATACACTGAACGAACTAAATCATTTCTGAAAATTAATAGCACCTTAAATATGTAATTATCATGCTTGAGTTGTTTCTGGAGTGGTATTGTGAGAATCTTGAACAACAATATATTCATTGACAAGAATTGTCATGCAACAAATTTCAGTAATATATATCCAAAAACAATCCATGATGTGTGTAGCTATTTTTCATTACAGAAACATTGGTATGAGCCAACTCACTGGACTAAATGAGTATCAAGCAAAAGGGTAATTCTATTTGTACACTACACTTTATCTCAATACACACCATTTCCAAACAAAGAACAACTGATTGGATATCAACTTTTGAACAAAAATCAATTATCCAAATATCAGCTATTGAATAGGATTTTTGTTCGAACAACTGGTTTTTATTCCAAAGTTGATATCCGAACCACAATAATGGTGTATTGAGATTAAGTGTGGTGTGCAAACAAAGTTATCCCAAGAAAAACTATAGCAGAATGCATTTTAGAAACAGAACAATATGGACCTAATTTACATGATTTACAGTCTCAAATCACCATAATCAATTTCTCCATTGTCAACTATCATGAATCAAGTTATTCGGCTCACTTAAAACATACTTGGGCAACTCATACTTTGCACCTGCAACAAAATGTGTATATATATATATATTATTAGATAATGGCAAACTGAGAAAAAGAATGAAAAGACACAGAGGTTTCAAATTGGATATGCACCTCTCTCATCATAGCAAATTGTCAAGTCAGGGGCTTGAACAATGACACCAGCACTGTCCACAATTGCTTGTGCAAGGGTTAAATCAGCCTCTGCAGCAGCTTGGAGTGCATCCCAAATCTCTGATAAGAGTACAAGTTACAACATTATTGTTCTATATTTTCTCTTTATTTGTAACCCTATTTCATGAAGTCCACGTGCACAAAATAATAAAACAAATCAAATTTCTCCAGATAAACATCAAATGTGTGCATGATACAAGCAATGTGTTTATTTTTCCTTTTTTAGGGTTAAAAACAATCAAAATGACTTTTAATGTCTGAAAGCAACAGAGAGCACTACCGGGGAGTCTAAGAGACTAGAACATGACGTTTCATTGTTGTAAAGAATTTTACAAACTGAGATGTAAATCTTATGCATTGTTTGTTCTTAGATTTTATTAAAGGAAAGGGAAAATATAGAAAAAGAAAATGAAGTGATTGAAGCTTTGTTTGAAGGGTAAGGAAAATGAGATTTTCCTTTCCCTCAACAAATGTGAGATCCAAACAAAGTGTTAAAAGTTCCAATTTCCTAGCTAGTTAGCGGAAAAACTATGTATAGGAACATGTAATGTTGGACAGCTACTTCCCTTGAGTTTTTTTTAACAAAAGGCCATAGAATTGAATTGAGGTAGGTGCTTCCACATGATCCACAAATTGGATCATGCAAAAGTCAATGACCAGAGAAGTCTCAAGAATCCTTTATTAGGGTCCACAAATCCAGAGAGTTTCACAATTGCTGATTGAAATAATTAATAAGAAAACAGACCAGGTGGAAGCCCCTTTCTGTTAGGGGTTGTGAAGGCTGAAGCCCAAACATCCAAACACAAAAAGAAAAAAGACAATCATCAAAACTTAGAGCCACTATTGCCATAGACCCACCAAAGGCCTGAAAATGAAGATTTACCCCAGCAAAGGCAACTTCAACTCTAAAATATAGAGTTCAACACCTTCAAGAATTATTTTATCTTTCAATTCCTCTCTTTAAACTGCCCTTGAATGTTTCCCCTACTCCACCAGTTCCAGATCAAGGGAATAGAGGCATGACCCTAAAAACCCCAATGATAGAGATAAGGTTTGCCAACGAGTTCCAGGCCAACTAAAAAAGGAGAAACACCGATTGAAGATCTTTACACATGTAATGAAACAGTTTAAAATTATAGTATTATTAAACAAGTCATCCGCAGTGAAAAATGTCCCCAACACCACCATTCAAATGAAGAAAACCACCTTAGGTTGCACCTTCAAATACGTATACATATATTTCTAGACAGACATTTGACTACGCGGAATTTGATAAAGCCACATATATATGATTTCACCATGTAAAGTACATTTTGCTCATTTCCAAACAGTTCTGCCTTCATTTACTTGGGTTATCTTCGAATCAAACAAATTTTGAAAGATTATCATAATACTTTCACAACAACCAATGTGAAACTCCCAGTAAAAATTCCATCTCAATGCATGTTTTCCACTAATCAAATTGCTCACTAAGATTATTTTTTGGACAAGTCTCACTAAGATGTGGAAAAGCCTCTGCAAATGGTATCTCCTCACCACAAATATCTTTTCAAAATTTTACCAGCCACCCGGTATTTTCTTTCAGTTTATACTATCACTGTCACAAGTTCTTGATACCCATTTATTATTGCCCCAAAGGCCCACTTTGTGGTGACTGCCCAAACTTCATTCATCAAACACTCCCTTCTATCAAAAGATAAGCTAAGCCACCATATTCCTCCAAAGCAGATCACAAAGGCCCCTTGAATAAAAGCAGGTACTTTGAAATTAAAGAACAATATTTAACCCTATGTTTTTTAACCCCAACAAGAAATTACTACTTGAACACAACTATTCCCCCATTTCTGGCTGAAGAAACTCCTTCCTTAATACTTAAACCGGAATCTCGAGAAAATATTAACAAGAAGTTGGGAACTGAACTTGCTGGCTGAAATCTAATCAATGATACTTCCCCCCCTCTGGACAGATTTCTTTTCCACCAACTTAACCTCCTTCAAACTCACTCCATGACTATGTCCCCAACTCTTTTTTCCACACAAAAAACGCAAGGGTAAGAAGAAAAGAAGAAAGTGGTTGTTGGTGAAAGGTCCCTCAGTCTCTACTTTTCTTGCAAAAAGGACCAGCTAGAAAGTTTTCATTCATTCATCAAGGGCAAAGATTATAACATGACAAAATATCCCAAGTTTTAATAGTCTCCTCCCCACCATTTCAGACTATCATCACTTTACACCACCACCACCACCACCACCACCATCAGCCACTACCCTTGGCAGTCGCTGGTTGTCTCCGGAGGTCGGTGGTTATCTCCGGCAATTGCTTTCTAACTGTTGATCACCGGAGACCATTTTTTTAATGAACATTTTCTGACATGAATCTCCCGCAGCCAATTTTCAACAACCACCACCAACACCACCATTATCACCACTGCCACACCATCTCCACCACCACTTAGCAAATAACAAAAAGATCTATTAAAAATTCATTGTTTTATAGATAGTAAAATTTTACGTCGTATATGACAGTTAATTTTCACCACTATATAGTTAACATTTTCACCACTATATAGTTAACATTTTACGTCGTAACAGGTAATTTTCACCACTGCCACACCATCACCACCACCACTATATTAATGACTTGTAAAATTTTATTGTATGAAGTTAACATTTAAACAACAAATTGTCACTAACATCATCACCATCACCAACCACCACACTATTTTACCATTACTAGTAGAAATATCAAACAAAAAAAAAAATCAAAACATTAAATAAACAATATTACCATGAGTAAAATTTTACTCTGTGTCGACAATAAAATTTACTTGTTCGCTACAGAGACTAAATAGACAACTCCGGTGGCCTTTTTTTAACAGATCAGAGGCCATCAGTCTCAAATCTGAGTTTGTCAGTACCGAATCTGAGATTGTGGAGGTTGAAGGTGAGGACGGTGGTCATTGTTGGAAGATTTGAGAAGGCAACTAATGATGGAGATGACAAGCGGCATTGGCAAATGATGCAGATGGTAGTCGCCGGCGATAGATCCGAGATAGTGACGAATGGTGGTGACAATGAGTGACGCTGACCAACGGTGAAGGCAATGAGAGATGATCGGTAACAGATGGAGATGGTGAAGATTTGTGCGCGCGCGCGCGCGAGAGAGAGAGAGAGAGAGGGAGAGAGAGAGAGAGAGCTATAGAAGATAAAGAGACACATATATGAATATGAGAGTTAAATTGGTTCTTTAATGAAGGACACAGTCGTCCATTAATTTAATTCATGATATTTTTTGTCCTTCAAATCTACAAAAAACTAAATCAGGGACTTTTCCCATTAAACTTAATTAGTTTGTCCTTTTCCCAATATAAGTGGGCAATGAGGGTGTTTTGACTATCCCAAGAAAAAGGCTTGCTACTTTACAACCAAGAATAGTTACAAATATTTCCACAACCCCCCATTTTACAAGAACCAACTTGCTTTCAGTTGAATTCAGGTTATGTCTATAATGCCTCAGAGAAAGCAGCTTGCTGATTAGAAACAATGTTACACCTTGTTCGCACCCCAAAAACGACAACAAAAACGATTGCATCAATTGACATGAAGTAAATCTGAGAAAACCCATATTTCCTTGCCTCCTCACCACCCATAAGCAATCTATGAAAGAGTCATCAACTGCTTTTTGAATCCTTAACTATAATCTTAAATAAACACAATGAGAAGCAAGCAAGACCAAGGTTTTCCTTGTTGACAACCATTATAGCTTCAAAAATGCCATGAGGTTGCCATTAACTAGAATGAAAAAAAAGGCCCATAAAAACAATGGACCTCAAAATCCATCCTGTTGGGAAGATAAAGAAGGAACTCCCAATTTGAATGGTCATGTGTATTTACCACTTCAAATATGCAAATCAATTCCCAAAGCCCACTCCTTTATCTTGAGTCAAAGCATTCATTCAATGAGTACACATCTATAATTTATTCACCTCAACAAAAGCCTTTTGTGATTGTAGGACTATCCTTCCACCACCTTGCTCAATCTCACTGCTAGAACATTTGCAATACTATATGGAGATTCCTTCAGGAATTGAAACCAGTGATTTTAAAACATCCAAATTTGTATATTGTGATAGTTTGAGAAAAGTGGTTAGTGTTTGTAAAAAAAAGAAAAAAAAAGAAAAAAAAAAAAAAGAAAGAAAAGAAAGTGGAAAGTGTTTAGCATAGGTTCCAAGGTTTGTTAATTTCACTAATGGATTCCGCACACTTACTCCCCAAGTCCAGTGGTAACCATTTGCACAATAAGGACATTACATACAGCAACATAAGGAGATTACAAATTCCGAGAACAATCAAGAGAGAATGCAAAAAAAGAAAGACTCTACTAAACAAAATAGAAAACATCAGATTTCCACTATTTTGGATTTCCTTTTATTTATTTTTTTTTTTTCTAGAAATACTTTGAAGAAAAGGTTTCCACTACATTTTTTTTTTAATAACAATACCCAACATTGTTTGATGTGATAAAGATATTCTTAGAATCAATGATGTTTGTGTTCTTTTCGTTTCAATGTGGAATCAAGATGTAACAATAAACTAGAGCCATTAAAAGGACTCAATAAACATTTCCAGCTGCTTAGCAAAGGCACAGCATCAACAGATGCAAGCTATTGCTTCCAACATAAGATCAGGATATATGTAACTCCATTTATTTCCAACTAGCCACAAAACCAAACCGTTATGTACACTCATCTGCAAGATATATTTCTGCAGAAACAAGCCGAGTCCAGGGGAGAAAACACACACACACACACAATATGTACGCTTTTCAACAAAAAATGTTACATTGGCCCATAAAGAGTCTCATAGAACCCAAGACAAATCCTGTAACACCAAGCCAGATTCTATGGGGTTTGCATTCAACCATAAGTCACAGTGGCACAAAGCATCCAATGTATTCAAGCACTATCTACTATTTATTGCCTTAGAATCTCAAGATATTGTGAAGCATAGTTTGACAGTTTCTTAATAAATATATTACAAATAAGAACAATGGTCTCAAATGAATGGCAAATGAGAAAATTATTATATCAAGCCTAAAAATAAATCCAGAGAAGTTAGCTTCCAGCCAACCTCACAAAAATATAAAGCAAACAAAGAACTGGAACAATTGAAATAGAAATGAGAGAGAGAGAAAGAGAGAGAGAGAGAGATGATTTTAAGTATCATCTTTTCATTATATACTTTTTTAGGAGGGAAAATGGGGAAGGGAAATTAGAGTTTGATTATTTCTATAAAAAAAAATCTTTCAATTGTATAGTAGGAAAATGGACCAGACAGACTGAATACTCTTTTTACAAGGAAAAGTTACCCTTTCGGCCACCGTAGTGTGGAGCTGTGTCCCAGAACTCATCACGCATCTGTTTAAGTTGAGCTCTTGTTATTGGTTCTGAATGCTTCCAAGGCTTTGGCTTTCGTATTTTCTTGGTATTTTCTGTGATCATAACCAAAAAGAAAAATGATTCCAACAAAATAAATTGATTTAAGACAGCATTTGAATATGGCAATCTGGCAAGTCCTCTATTGATGTCAAGTATATGGTACAAAAGTGTACATTTCTAAGGTTGTTAACTCCATTAACAATTAAATTATCAACACATACAACCAGATTTTTCACACCTCCACTGACAAATACGTCAATTTTTCTGACAAGTAAACTAAATTTAAATTTAAAAGGTACAAGGGGACATCACCCAAGTACACAAGCATAACAAAACAAAACAAAGAAACCCTACAGCAACAAAAATACAAGGACAAACCCAAGAGTCCACCCAAGAATCTAAACTAAAATCTCAAATCCCTTACACTTCCTGTTATGTTTCCCACTTATTCTAGCAGCATTTATGCCCATCCTTGGCGGAGTAGGTTTAAGTGGGTGAAGTAGGTGATAGGTTTTAACAGCCCCCCGCAAACTCAAGGGGGATAGGAACTAGCCAACGTGAGTTTGGAGAGAGTAACAAAACAAGAAAATAGACGAATACATAAAAGAAAAGAGGATAGGAGACACTGTATGGTCGTGTCATAACGTGGTAGAGGACACTGGATGGTTGTGTTAGACCGATGTAGAAGACAGTTTATGGGGTCATGTCAGACCGTTGTAGCAGACAATGTTGTGATAGTTGTTGTGACAGTTTACGGAGTCTTGCTGGACCCTTGTAGAAATTAACCGAAATCAATGTCGGGACAGTTTACAGAGTCTTGTCGGACCCATGAAGGAGCTAACTGGAATCAATGTCGGGACAGTTTACTGAGTCTTGTCGGACCCTTGAAGGAGCTAACCGGAATCAATGTCGGGACAGTTTACAGAGTCTTGTCGGACCCTTGAAGGAGCTAACCGGAATCAACGTCGGGACAGTTTATAGAGTCTTGTTTGTCGTCGAGCGCCGAGAGGCGCATGATGCGCGTGTCTGCCTCGGCTATTTAATCAAGACGAAGGCTGAGGCTGAGGCAGAAGCTGAGACAAAAAAACTGAGAGAAACCTCTGAAAGAACTCTTCCTTTGCTGAGAGAGAAACTCTGTAATACGCTGTAACACTCTGTTGCCCAGAAAATGGCTTCGTCTTCCCGTGGGCTGCTCACTCTCGTTCTCGACCTCAATGAGTCAACAAGAGAGAGAACTGGTGCGGTGGCCAGTGAACCTCAACCAAACACCTCTGTGTTTGTTCCGTTGAACTTTCTGATGCGGTCGGTGGAGCAAAAAATGGCGGTGCAAACTGATATTGAGGCCAATCAGTATACTCTGAAGTCATGTGTGGAAACCATGACTGCGGTCACAAACTTGTCGCACCGGCTGCAGAGCAGGACAAATGAGATGCAACAGTTAAACTCCCAGCTGGCTCTGCTCCAACGCATGTATAAGGATGCGCGAGCAGAGATAAGTGTGCTAAAGGCAGAAAACAAGGAGCTGAAGCGGAAGGCCACCATGATGTTCCGATTTGGAGGTCCACCATATGCTGCAGTGGAGGAGCAGGGAATAGTGATCGTGCCCAGTGGAGTGGGAAACACGGAGGCAACACCGGCAAGGGCCGCCCAGGACGGAGGCAAGAAGAAAAGACCGGCGGAATAGGCGAAAAAGTGAGGTCGGTGGGTGGCCGTCTGCAGAAAAGAAAACAAATCTTGTGGTGTTGTGGTTTGTGTTTTTTTTTTTTTTTGGTTAAAATTGTGATCGGGGTTGATCCCTGAGATGAATAAAAGATGGTTTGGTGTGCAAAGCTATATGGTATGAATGGAATTGGAAAAAGATTAAAAACCGCTCTTTCTTCTTTTTCTTCTTTCTTTTTTTTTTTTTTTTTGGTGCAAAAAAAAAAATAATAATAATAAGAAGAAGAATAATAATAATGGAAAACCGTGGGCTTGAAAACTATATAATAATAATATATTAATGGTATGATTGTGTAAGAATAATAATAATAATAATAATAATAATATATAGTAATAGTGAAAGCATGTGCCGTGTGGGAGCAGCTGCAGAGAAAGAAAAAGAGAAGATAAAATAAAATAAATAAAGGTAAGAGAGGAGTAGAAAATTTGAGTGGGGAACATGAGTGTGTGGAAAGAATGAAAAAGAAAAAGGATGGGTTGGATTTGTACAAAATAATAAGAAAATAAAGGAGTGGAGAAGGTTGTCTCCCCTGCCTGAAGTGAAATCAGTTGCCTTAGTGGAAGAAGAACTCATCAGCACCGAATACTTAAAATCATCATCAGTCTTCGCCATAATCGAAGAACTCTCATCAATCACCGATTCTCCAAAAACCCTTTTCTCAATCACACCTGCTCGTCCGATTTCACCAACTGGGTCACCCAAATCAACACTCTTCTCAATCTGGGTAGTCCCAAAAACAAGCTCAGAAGCTCTCTGAATCAACTCATCGAATGTCTGAAACATCTCGTCGGCGGCGCCACGTGGAGGGAGATCTCGGAGAGACGAGATTGGTGTTCGGGTTCGACGGTGTGGAGGAGGGAAGTGGCGGCTTTGACCTCCTCGATTGTAGGTTTTCATGATCTCTTCTATGGCTTCTACGCAAGCTGGTGATGGGTTTGGATTGGGTATTGAAGCCATAGCTGTTGGGTTTGAGAATAGCAGTGTTGCAGAGAATGGAACAACTGGAGAGGAGGAGGAGGAAGAAGAGTTTAGTAGGCTGATCAAGTGGTTGCTGGGAAGAAGAGTTCGTCGCCAATCAGGAGAGGTTGAAGCCCTAAGAGGAGAAGACCGAGGAGGATCGATCCAAGGTCGACGATCTCCGTGGATAAGGATCGACTTTATCTTGAAGAAGTCCAACAACAGAAAGAACCTTATTATGCATCAAAATGGAACAACCAGGTTGTCAGGTCTATGGTCGAGAAACGGCCGGAAATGTTGACGCCGTGGATTGCTCGAGGGCAGTGAAAGGCAAGGTTGGGGAGAGTTGGAAGATGCAGGAAAGTGAAGGTATGTGTAGAAAATGCCAGCGGGCAGCGAAAGCCAGGTTGCCGGCCGGCTGCCCGCCGGTGAGAAAACAAAATACAGGCCTAAGTCTTACAGCTCTGATACCATGTAGGAATTTAATGTATAAAGAGAAATAGAGAATTGTATTATTGATTGATATTTTGATATATTTATTACAATGATTCATGATTCCTATATATAGAAGAGGGTGAGTGTGTAGTAGGTAAGGAGTAGGTGAAGTGGAGGTGGTAGTGGTGTAGTGGGTTAGGTTTAGTGGAGTAGGTTTAAGTGGGTGAAGTAGGTGATAGGTTTTAACAGGGACATCACCCAAGTACACAAGCATAACAAAACAAAACAAAGAAACCCTACAGCAACAAAAAAACAAGGACAAAACCAAGAGTCCACCCAAGAATCTAAACTAAAATCTCAAATCCCTTACACTTCCTGTTATGTTTCCCACTTATTCTAGCAGCATTTATGCCCATCCTTGGCTTTTTTATTTTTTATTTTTTTGCTTCATTGTTGCTATGAATTTTATAGCATCATTCTCACAACCTTTGCAAGGAATACCAAGTAATTGTCAAAGGCCTTTAACCCTCTTCATCACCCACTTTGAGAAGAAAGTAGTCTTCCTTAATATTACCCGACTGCTGAACTGCCAGGCTGCCACTTCCTTGGCCTTAATTTCTTTGAGCATTTATCACCATCACCCCCCTTCACGGTTTTAAATCACAGTATCAGTTGGCATAACGATCGTCTTAGTAGCCTTTCAGTGGCATGTTTCGGTCCTCTTCCCCATTACTTAGAAAAAGTTAGCCACGAATCCAATTCGTGAGATTGCTTTCAAAAGGCCGATATTTTTTTTCTTCTTTTTTTCGGGTATGCAGCTCCACCAAAAGGTGATTTTAGTGAATAACCAAATATAGTGTAACAGTATCGGAAATATTGGCCAATGTGTAATAGGAATCATAAACCGAACTCTTGATTTTTTTTCAAGCACTAAAAAATGTCAAAAAACTCATTGATAAGCATGTTTTGACCCTATTTATAATATTTCAAATTTTTACAATTGTTTGCTTTAAAAAAAAGGTGGAAATTTTACACTATCTACAAAGAATAATTAGAAATGCTACCTGAAAAATAACTCATAAGAGAAAGAAAACATTTATAGAGCTTGAAGAAGACCCACTACAGAGTGCATACAGACACATGCAACTCGTATAACCCCCCTATACAAATTCATCTCTCTGCAAATCAACTTATAAATTACAATACACAAAATAATGAAGAAAACACATCATTTATAACCCTAAGTCATCATACCACAAAGAAACGAAGAAAAAAATCAACCAGATCTATTGATATCTGCAGAAAACAGCTTCAACACTGAGAAGAACCACAACGTAGACCCCAATACCAACCTTGAATCTTGAAGTTTCAAGCACTAAATGAATAGATATAAGTATCTCAAACAAGTGGAGAGCAGCAACAGAGTGAAATGAAAAACAATGGTGCAAATGTGATGTAAATCGCATCTGAGTGTGTTATATTGTTGACAAAGGCTGTAACATCCATATCAGCTAAAATAGCGATCATAACAGCTTATGCAGACCATTATGATTGTGTTTTTTTTTTTTTTTTTTTTATGCCGATACACGGAACGGGAAAGATAAAGACCGTACGCAACTAAGAGAGAACAAAGGACAGGAAGCTACTCAATTAGAGGGACAGCAAGTGAGTTTTTTACAGAAGCATTTTGGTACTCAGATATGATGCTGCTCCTTCTCTTACGGAGTATCCTGGGGAACTAATCTAATAAAGAAATTCTCTCTTTGGCTGGGGACACCTAGGAGAATGAATGAGCTTCCTGAACTCCCAACTTCCATTTCAGTCAAGTCAAAATAGTTTCCGCTATCTACGGTCAGGCTGACTCAATCATCAAAGCTATTTTCCAGAGAATTTTTTACATTATTTAAGACTCTTAGGGAGAATATTTTGAACCAGCTAACA